ACAAAAAAAAAAAAAAAAAAAAAAAGAAGGGTATCATAAATCTTTGGGTCTATCCATTCAACTCCCAATCTTGGCCTTCTTCTTTCGTAACTTATTGTCATCGGAGGCCGACGGAGTGGCTCCTTTCTCGGGCGTTTTACCAGGCGTGTCGACCTTGACTTGAGGTGTTCCAACCCTACCTGGGATGCTGCCTGGACGGCTAACATGCGGTGGTTGTTTGGAAGCAGCCCCTCGATCTGTATCACCAGACTTGGATAGGATAAATGATCCCGGCTCTCCGACCAGTGGATTTTCATCCATGAATTCCTCACCATATCGTGCGAGAAGACTGAACGACTCCGCGAAATTTCTCGTGTCCTGGAAAATTGCTCCAGCGTTGGCGGTTTGTGCCCCAACAAAGAGAGCCTTCGTGGAGTCCGCGTCGGGCATCGGTGTGTTCTCCTTGCTTTGCTGAGATTGAGCTCCAGGCTGACTGCTATCCGTCGGTTTGGGTGCGGGCGGCATGTACGTGTGTCCATGTGACGGTGTAAAGCTAGGTAGTGACGATGCAGTCTTTAAGAGGCTTGTGAGTGAGGTAACTGCAGAAAGCTATTGTGACGTGGAGTGTCAGTCACTGGGTCATATACGGAGGACCTTATTTTACATACTAGTCTATTTCCCACGACACTTGCAACAGATGGGGCCATATAGATGCAATCTCCCACTACGAAGTAAGTGGATAGAACTACCACTTCATCATCTAGCCCAGCTCGCTTCCGTCTTGTCTGTTTCCGGATCACCCAGATATTAGATGGTTCATGTGCAAAACTGGTCTCTGTTTGTGCAGCAGCCTGCAAAGGATCATAAGCGACCACGAACTCTAATCCCTGCATGGTCTTCAAGCGGCCTTCGAAGGCCTCCCGAGTTTCAACAAAATGGCGAAGTGTTTCGTTGTAGTTGGCTTGGATGGCAAGTGAGGCATTGTTAGACGTAGCGTCGAAGAATGGAGATTCGGCGAAGTAAAACAAGACTGTCCATTAATTAACAAGTGCTTTCAAGTAAAATTAAGTAAGATAAAAAGCTCAAAAGGAAGATCTCCTCACTATTGTTAGAATGGAGGAAGCCTCCCATCATTTGGACGTGCGCGGGCGACCGCCAGAGGATCTCCTCCATTGAGCCATCTTGGGCACTCGCCATGAAATAACTTAGATGGCCTCGATTGTTGATAGACTGTTGGAGAAATACCGACCTATACAACAACAGCCAGAAGTACGAATGGTAGGGTCTACACCTCAAGGCCAGACAGTGTATATCTAAGTGCAATGGAGACTATGATGTATTTATTGTCCTCCGCGGAAATAAAAGCGGTGTTTGACTTGTTTGCATTGTTTATCTAATAAAAGTTCTGTCCGCGCCAGTTCGTAAGCTCATATCTGGACCCTTAACTAACCTTACTATAAAACAAGCAAGCATGAATCAGGGTATCTTTTGGACTGATAGATTCTACCAAGGATGCTATATAGTGAAAACCTTGTGAATAGCTAAACGCCTCTAAACCCCAACGCTCAATGTTGAATATGACCCCATATGATCTAAACCGGCAACTGTTGAATATTGTTGTTGAACATGTACCTAAAAAGGTAGGCTTCGGCAAGAAGAACCAAGAAAGAACGAATAAATCAAAGAAGAAGGAGAAGGGAGGATAGATAGAATGTGGTTATGCTTTTACACCTTGCCTGAACCCTGTAGATCCGACGGCGCGAACACACCACAGACAGTGGTAAGCTTGGTCAGCATTTCGTTCCATTCACCGTCAGCAGTGCTTAGAATGGTCACAGCTCCTCCAGCCCCAATCCTCCATGTCTGTTCATTGTCCTTGTCATCAGAACAGCTGAACGCCGTGCGGATAAGGACTGAGAAACTACCTCCGCCCCCAAGGTCTAGGAAGCCCATAACACCGGAATAGATCCCACGTTTCCGAGCTTCGATCAAGCTAAGATGCATGCATGAACGCTCCTTAGGCGCGCCAGTCATCGATCCCGGAGGGAGACATCTTTGTAAGGCTGTAAGCCCGTACGCAGACATGTTTGACGAATGTAGATGGGGCAAGTTTCGAACTGCAAGACCCGGACGGCTTGGATCGACATCTCCTTTCACATGAGTAATCATCTGATAGACACGCCCGTGATCCTCTACCTCAAGAAGCTTCTCAACACGCACACCTCCAGAACCGCAGATGCCGTAAAGGTCATGGCGAATCAAATCCGCGATCATCAAATTCTCCGCCATTTCCTTTGTTGAACCTAGTATCTCCTTGGCCTTCTTCATAGTCATGCTGGCCGATTTTCGGACAGTGCCCTTCATTGGCTTCATTTCCAACGTGAAAGAGCGGTCCCAATTGAGGAAACATTCAGGGCTGCTACTGACAACCTTGACGCTGCCCAATCTTGCATACGCACTGAAGGCTGCAGGATTGTATTCCCTAAGGCGTTTATATAGCTTCCAAGGGAAAGCAACACGCTCGCTGTCAGTGCCAGGTGATGGTAAGGTAATTGATGTTTCACAAGTAAGACATAACTCGTATGATTCGCCAGCTTCAAGCTCGGCTTTACAAGCTTCGACTTGCTTCTTGTATGTTTGCTCGTTGGGGAAACGTATCACGCATTGTCTTAGAACGGTGTCCAAAGAGCCCGTATCAGGGTTCGCGTTCTGATTCTCAAGCACGCCTACATGGGAAAGCTCAGTCAAGTATTGTAACGTTTCGTCAAGCCAACCAGTTGATATATCATCGGCGTTGCGCGTTGACTGTATGGTAATGCGTCCTGTTTCGTTATCGACGATGACGCTTCTTTCGGTCCACAGCAAACTCACATCTGCTGGATCAGTAGTAGCAACACGGCTTTGAGGGGGAAAATATCCATAATGGTCATTGCTATGAGTCTTCGGCCGAGCAAGACATGCGAGTCCCATCTCATATGAGAAGTAGCCCAAAAAACCTCCCCAAAAGGGCACAGCATCATCTCCAGACTCGACCTTTTTCATGTCCATGAGATATCTGAGCGTCTCCCATAAGTCATGCACCGACAAAGACTTCTTAATGCCGGAATCTGTGTGCCCATTGGAATGTCCTTGCAATCTCTCCACTAAGAGAGCCTCGGTCTGGGCATAGTATTCTAATCTCCAGCTCGTAGGGCCCGGAACTGATATGATACTATACTTGCCGTTGGACTGAAATAACACTGTTGGTGACCCAGGCGCATTTAGGCGTTCACATATAAACTCAGCATTTAGCCTGCTGGTAGTGAGTGAACGGAAAGCTGAAGATCTCGAGGTTGACGCGCACCAATTCAACAGGGTAAACGCTATCTCCGGAAGTGAGATCACATCGCTTAGGCGTCTTATAATGTCTTTTGGCAGAGTACCGTAACTGCCGCGCCCGTGCTCCTTGTTGTAGTCTAAGGACATCTCCCACCACTTTCTTAGTAGTTCACTGCACACTCCACGGTCCGACTTGCACGATTCTGGGTGAAATTGAACACCCCAGAACGGCTTTTCATTATGGCGCACAGCCATTGGAATAATAGTTTTTTCAGAACCGTTATCTTGTTCGATGGGCAGCCAAGCCAGAAGATCTAAGTCTGCATTGGCTTTGATCTGCTCGTCACTGTACTCGGTCAAGGCTGCCTCAAGCGAATCGTCCAACTTTGCATATAGAGAATGATAGAGAGTGACCTCCACATCTTGTAGGTTCTTGAATATGTCCTTTTCAGCCGTTGATATGCGATACACCCGGCCATGAAGTGGGTATGGCAAACGCTCTATAGCAATGCTGTGATGAAGACACAAACTTTGAAAACCAAGGCATATTCCGAAAACAGGGAGCAAATCAGCGTGACTCAGAGCCCAGATATCTCTCATGATCCCAATATCTTGTGGAACATTTGGATCTCCAGGCCCAGGCCCAAGGACGACGGCTTCGAAATATTGCAGAAACTCGGCCATGTTCCCTTCTGGCCACTCGGAGTCAATCATTATCACAGTGACCTTGACACCCAGAACCTCTTCAAGCATGGCGACCACATTGTAAGAAAAGGAGTCATATGCATCAACATAAAGAATATTCTTTCGGGGAGACGTATGGAGGTGAGCCTTAGAGGGCTCACCGGCAGATGGTGCGGTCCAACTCCCCAGTAACGGTGCCATGCCGTATGGATGAACTGTAGCTTCTATAACCCCACGAAGAAAGCAGGGGACAAAGACAAAGACAACGAGAATACAAGATATGTGTAAAACAAAGTGGAAAGCGACTAGCAACAAGCACAGTGTATGAGATGAAGCTCGAGTACTAAAGGTCAACGGAGGTTCATAGTGGAATGAATATAGAAACCCAAAGTGGCGATACTCCAAAAGTCCTCTATTCAATGCACCACACACATGACTCACAAACGAAGGAAATGTTGTAGATTGTCAGTAGATCTTCAACAAGCAGATCAAATAGAGATCCAACAGATTTGGAAGCAGAGAAAAAGGAAGAGAAAGAGAACGAAGTGGTTGAGTCACAAAGTTTTTGAGGCTTGGGGTTGCCAGACCTGGTCACTTTTACCTAAAAATTAAGATAAAATCCAGGGACGGAGCGGCAAACACCGGAAAACCTAAATCGGGCGCCCGTATGGAGAACGAGGAATAAATGGGTCTTCCGCCGCAATCACCTTTTTTCGCACCCGATCTGCCACCACCACGCAAGCCAAGCCCTAATTTACCCACCCCTTCATACACAAGAGCGAGCTTCTTCTGCTCATATACCCTGCCAGATCCTGCCGGCTTAAGAGACCCCCGAGTAAGTAATTTCTATGAAAATTGTATTTTCCGCTATTCATCTATACATCATCGGTTGATGACCAATGCTTGAGCTTGTCTGGTAAGTATACCTGTCGTGAGAATCAAAGACAAAACATGCCTTGTATTAGGCAGAACACCATCATGCATCATCGGAAATGTTTTAATGGCTCCAGCTGGTTGATCAGCTTTGAAGAAACTATGAATTCAGCTTTGGCGTTTGCATATTGACGGTGGCAAGCTTGGTCGCGATTTTGGGGAAGTACTGAGCCACGAAGCTTTCACTGGAGAGGGTATCAGCAGGGTAAATTCTATAACCGTATAGGGTGATATTCGTACCTGTAGAAGCTATGGGCGGAGCTATGATCTCCCACTAGATTATGTGCCAGTTCATGACAGAGTATCACCCACCAATATACCAGTGCTTCACTCCGGTCGGCAGCCGGACTCTGAAGCAGCTCCTTTTCATGTAATTGCTGGAAGTAGAAGTAATTACAAAAGATGCTACCGGCTCGGTTGAACGCTATGGTCTTTCCGCCTGGGTCATAAAAGACACTAAGGATATCAGCACGTAGGGAGAAGACACTAGCGCAATCAATGAGCATCGAAGCAAAGAGGTTAATTCCGGCGCTGTTCTTAGCCAGAAAGTTGGACCGATCTGCAAGTGTCTTCACGAAGAGTACATGGATACCGCAGGGAAGTGTTGCCACAAATTCCAGATCGTGACTGGGTCTCTCATCACAATAGGATTTAGACTCAGTGACTTGGTTCGTTTCTGGGCGGCTGTATAAGCCTGATGATCCGTGAGGCCGACAAGCCTGGATGGCGGAAAGAAGCTCTGATTGAAGTCTATGCGGGGAGCTCACGGTCACAGGCTGTTCTGGGCGAGGCTCTTGTGGGTCTTCGGCCGAATATGGGGGAGGGGGTGTGGTGTTATTCGAAGACTCTGCGGATGGCTGGGATGAATCCCCACCAAGAGGGTTCCATGTTGGTCGACCACTGTCCAGCCCAAAGCGTTTTGTTAAATTGGCGAAAAGCCCCCGTGGGCGCCGGTCTTGGCTTTGTTCTAATGCTTCTTCCTGTGAACTAGGGCCGATGTCTTTGCTGGATGGCGAGGGCGAGTCAGGGAAATCCCCAGGCATCAAAGGCTGTCGTTTGGCTTCTGCTTGTGGCGCTTGTGTTTGCACCTGGGCTTGAGCCCGTTCCTTCGCCCATGCGGCTTCCCTCTCCTGGAGCCGTTGTCGCTCCTCCTCCAACTGCTTCTGACGCCTATCCTCTGCCATTCTTGCCTCGTGAGCCTTCTGCTTAAGAATGCGCTCAACGTTGTAGCCACGGGCTTTAAGCTCTAACAAATCAGTTTTTAGAAGCATTTCCAATGTGAGAGTCGAGTGAAGCTTCGGCCGGACAAGGATCAGGTGTACGAGAGCTTGACTTATCTCATAAAGGTCATATTTGCCTGGGGAGATCCACAAGACCCAGGACGTTGATTGCCGGGTAATAATGGCACTTCGCTTCTGGGTATGTGAAACTCGACGACCTTTAAGTGAGCGAGTGAGAGATATCGAATGGACGACTTGGACTCGAAGGTTCTTTTCCAGCCATCTGACGTCGTGCTGTATGGTCTCAACGGGTTGATCGTGGAGGAAAAGTCTTGAGCGCTCATGAATCAACTTCTGTAGTTTTGCTGCAGGCAGTTGATCCGAGGCCACTGCTCCCCAATTGGCACGTTCTTCAACAAGAGTTTTCAGCGGTACAGCACCCAGAGCAAGATAAAAATTCTCTAGTGTTTCCTCCTGAGGCGCAGCTAGAATATGTTCCTTAAACAGATTGAAACTCTGGAAATCATCTACCACCACCGTGTCCTTTGCTGCAGCCAAAGTCCACTCCTTTATGCTCTGTTCGTCATCATCGTCTTCAGAACCAAGGAGACCCCTTTTTGCAGAAGTCCCTTGGGCTAGAGAGGATAGATCTCTACTCGCTAAAAGGAACGCAGAGCACCTCATTTCGTTAAGGAGTCCCCGGTCTTTCTTTAGCACAGAGATATTCTCGGCCAGCGTTCTCAGTAACTTCAGATACTTGTCTGCACTTTGAAATGTCGAGGATATCCTGGCTGGCTCTTTCACTAACATGTACGCAAGTTCTATTTTAGTCGGCTCTCTCTTGGAACCCACTGCCATGAGAAAGAAGTTGGCCTCTTGCCCAAAGTCAACAAAGTCGAAGATTTCCCTGTAATCTTCACCCTCCCCGAGATAGCATAGCTTTGGTGCTACACGGCGTATACTCGATTCATGCTCGGGGGTATCCTTTGCTGAGACAGGTACTATTTGTGCGTTGCTAACTCGGTCAATATCTCGCGGCTTAAGTTCCGACACTCTCCCGGCCAAATATTTGAAAGCCACTCGCGCGTCCCGTTTAGTAGAGGGTGGCTGCCGAAGCAGATAATCCAGGCATTCAGTTAGAGCTGGATGTTGCCTGACTCCTAACTTAGGGGCATGAGAGTGAAGAGTATGCCGAAGGATTTTAAAACCAAATAAGGTAGCAGCTTCATCTGTGAAGCACTGACTTGGAATGCTAAGACTATCAGATCCTTCAATAGGTAGAAAAGGAACAGTAACTTCTTCGCAGTTGAACGCGGCGTAACCGTTAATATGATACTCGGCAATATAGTAGGACATAGCTTTCCCATGAAGGGTCCAATCTTTGGCTGCCGCGGCCTTTGCCATAATTTTTATTAGTTCGAAGGGGGATGGGAAGCTCCTCAGGCCTAGCATGGAGAGAAATTTACCCTCGTTGCTGCTAGACTGGTACTTGCCCGGCCACTCAATCACAGGAAGGCCAAGAGCTCTGAGTGGGTCGCGTGGCTCGAAAAGCTCATATATCTTATAACGTTTGCGGCGGTCGTTTGTAGGATCATTAGTGGTTTTGGTCGCCTCCGCAGTACAGATACTAGTATCCTTCAGCCTCTTGATATCGCTAACGGGTATGTCATCGCGAACGGAGGCAAGATAGCGTATCAAGTCGACATGGCTCCACTTCCTCAGGCTAACGCTGCCCCCATCTGAAGATTCCGTTGTACTTAACAGGCGTTCAAAGATGACCCCAAGATCAACGGTCTTACGTACGCCAAGAGCAGCCAGAAACTTTTCTTTGACACTATTAAGGCCTCTGACAACAGGGAGATCATCAAAGAGTCGGACTGAGGAGAAATAAGTTTCTATAGGCCGTTTCATGCCCAGCTTGGTTGGCATAACTGTGTGCGCTTGTAACAGGTTGATCACACTCTGCTTCGACGGTTGGCTCAGAATGTCCCATTGCTTCGAGATAACAGGCAAAACCTGAGCAGAGAAGGACGAAGACTGTGTAATGTCTTGTTCAATTGGCAGAGCGCTCCGATTCCCAGCATTACTCACTATCCAGTGAATCCAAGGAACCGTTTGCAATTCTGTCCAGCCGAGAGACTCTAGTTCCTGCTTACCTAGCGACTTGGTGTACTTGAAGGGCATCACGGAAGGTGGCAAGGGCAGTTCCACTGGTATCCGCTGAGGGTTGAGATAGCTGGTCATGTCCGCGAAGACAAGTAACTTGCCTACAGTACCGCTGCTATCTTCATCATTTGCCACTGCAACATTTAAAAGGCTCTGGACAGATAGAGAGTCTAGTTGGCCTGAAACAGCCCTTCGGCTGAGCCAAGAGAGGAATTCAAGGATTTGGCTAGACTGTAGCGTACTAGCTTCCAATTCACGTTTAATGTCAGACACTGTGATATCAGTGACAAGTCCAAAATCCGTCAGCTTCCTGACAAAATCTTTCGCATTTAGTACGAAGTCGTCTGGCAGAACCGGAATGGAATCCATGAAACTGAGATCTTTAGGAGCAATGCGTGCCTGATGGCTTTGGATGATTCCACACGTTGATAGAACCTCAATAGAGGCATTCTTGTTACACGTCCAGAATGCATCTTCAATAGTCTGGCCAAGGACCGACGACGGAGTTGATTCACGGAATACGAACTGATTCGCTGCATGAATGGCTTCGGGAAGTACGCCAACTATGTCATCCTTCCGGATTTTCAAGGACTTTGTGGGTTGTATCTTAGACTTGATGGAGGCCATCTCTGCAGACCAGGCCACTCGACAAACAATGCCCGCTGCTCTGAGCATCTCAAGGTTCCATTTGCTGATGTATCGTGTGTTGAGATCAATGCTCTCCCGCTCGACTGTCGGGATAACAGATGGCGCAGATATATGAGCATTGAGACCCGTCGTTTGGTGAGTGGGAAAGCCAATGAAGACTCTGCCGGCTTTAGATGGGAGAATCGATGAAAGAATGTCTGACTGCAACCCCGATGCGCCAGACGCCAAAGTGGTATCATATGAGGGTGTTAATACAGCTAATGTAGACTTTTTCGGTGGAGGCTTGCGTGTGGCGCGTTCAAGCTCGCTGCTTAGGGATTGACTTATAGAGCATTGAATGCTCGCAGTATTGATGTGTAGAAAGACTGACGCCGTAGAAGACTTAGTCAGGTCTTCTGAATCGTTGATATTGGGGTTGCTCTCAGTCTTCACGGGTTTCTCTGGCCCACCCTGGCCAGTGAGTCTAGAGAAAAAGG